GTAAAGTCTTCCTTGAGTTGAGCTACTACACACTGACTACACAGACACATCCATCAATGGTGTTTTTGTGTGTGTGTGGATTAGCAACAATATAGAAGTGGTTTGCCATTGCCTTCTTTCAGGATCCCCCACCCCACATCTAGACTATAGCTATAGGACTTCCTGGTGTTCTCCCATCCAGGTATTCATGCAGTCTGACCCTGTTTAGATTTTTTTGAGATTATCCAGGACTAGCTAGATGTGGTCCTTGCTGTGATGCTTTTGGATTGCCATTACAACATTGTCAAGGCCGTGATACATCCAGGGGTCAGCAGAATACAGAAAGCCTCCAGTACCCAGCACCAGATACACATACGTGTTTATGTTTTATGCATAACCAAAAGACCTCAGTGTATATGTATGCATATGCACGTATTGGATGGGAAGGGAAATCACCTTTTGTGTTTTTCTGGATACAAAAGACTAAGAGAAAACAGAAGTACTTTAGAGAAAGAGACAGAGATCAACTCATGGCCTCAGATATATATGAACGTGGATGAGAGACTCAGATAGATGCTTCGCACTGCTCACTGAATGGCCTTGGACATGTTATTGCCTCTCTCTGTATGAATGATCACACTTGATTATTGAGAAGATAAACACGAGAGTTTTCTGGAGTTGAAGGAAAGGCTGAATATAAATGAATTAAAATAAGAAGGGGAGGAGAATATTGGTATTATTACTAGCTCAAAATAAGCCTCTGTAAGATGAAAAATCAAAATTTACACATAAAGAGACCTTGGGGAAGGAAGTAATTCTTAAAGATTGACAGGGAATCCTATAACCAATTAAATCTAATATTTGAATAGGCATGATTTTGCTTCTCAGATGCCCATTTTGCATGTTTGCCTCAGTCATCTGTAGCACTGAAGGCTACAGATAACTATATAAAGCAACACCATGCAGATCTACTCAGAAGGAAATATCTTTCCTTGCAACCAGTCTTGCTTCAAGGTCAGCATTACAATTTTATGTTATCACATGTACCTATTTATTAAAAAGTTCAGCTGTATTAAAAGGTAAGAGTGAGTTTGTTTATTTATTTATTTATTAAATTTGTATGCTGCCCATCTCCCCCAATGGGTGACTCTGGGTGG